CCGGCCGTGGCTCCCGTTGCCAGACGCTGCTTCCCCGAGGAGAACACAACAAATCCGTGACTATTTCTGTGCGATGACGGTGGCTCGTGACAGCTCCTGCAGCCACGGCAAGCCTGCGGAGCGGCCGATCCCCAGCTCCGCGGGTCCCTGTGTCCTGCGGGATGCCGGTGCCTCACACCACGGTGCTGATGGTGGACGACTCCTCCGACCTCCGCTGCTTGCTGGGCAGGGACTTGAGATACTCCAGGTGCCGCCGGGCGTCCTCCTGGTTCTGCCGCACGTAGTAGACCAGGTAGGAGATCACCATGGCGAACCAGCCGAACATGGTGACCAGCATGGCGATGTCCGTGGTCCTTTTGTACACGTTGCAGAAGTCCGTGTCGGCGATGACCTGCAGGAAAGCTTTGCCGACGTGCTCCTCCTGCGTGGCGGAGTCGCACACGATGCCACCCGAGGAGCCGGCCGCCAGGTCCACCGTGCGGATCAGCTCCTGCAGCTGACAGTCACACAGCCAGGGGTTGTTGGAGAGGTTGACCTTGGCCTTCAGGTTGCTGAAGGTGTCTTTGCTGACCGACACCAGCCTGTTGGAAGACAAGTCCAGAGAGCGCAGGTGCTCTGCCAGGCCCCGGAAAGCCCCGCTCTCGATGCTGGCGATGGCGTTGTGGGACAGATCCAGCTCCAGCAGGAGGGGGAGGTCCCGGAAGGCGTCGCGGGGCAGGAAGGGGATTCGGTTGGAGTCCAGGTAGAGCTTGTTGGTGTCATTGGGTATGTCCCTGGGGACCTCGGTCAGCTGAGCGTTGCTGCAGCGGAAGGTCTTCAGTCCCTCCTCTTCCGAGGGGTAGCAGCCCTTGGGGAACGCAGCAGCCGGGCGGAGGCAGGAGGCCAGGAGGAGGAGGAGGCTCTGCAGGAGCAGCCACATGGTCATCGAGCGGAGGAGGACCCTCCCTGCCGTAGGCATGGTGCCGTGCTGGCTTTATCATGCGGCTGCCGGCCTGGTGGCTCTCACCCGTGGTGGTTTCAGCTGGACTTGGTACATCTGAGATGGAGACAGCAAGGGGACAGCGTCAGACCAGCAGTGCCAAGGGACAGAACCGCCACCGTGCCAGCTGCGAGCACCCCGCCTGCCCCAGCGCAGCCTGGCCGTGGGACAGGGATGGGGACATGGACAGGAACGGGGATGGGGCCAGATGGCTCAGCTCATGCATCCCCCCCATCCTCAACCACCGGTGGCCTCGCTCAGGGCTCCTGCGTGGCAGGATCAGGCCCCAAGGGGCTGAGCAAAGGCGCAGCTCCTGCGTGCCGGCAGCTGGGCTGTAACAAACGGAGACGGCTCGGGCTGAGCCAGAGGCGGGGGTGAGCTCCTG